GTAGCGTAATTGTTTTCAATTTTTTATGTTGTTTTTCTCAGATTTTTTTCTTTTCCAATTATGAATAAAGCTTTACTAAATATGATAAATTTGAATTATATTCTGTCTGCCAAACATAACTGTAACTAAAAGAAGCTGACTATATTTGAAATCACATGTATATATTTAGTGGAAATCAGAGAGACTAGTTTTTATTTTTTGTCATATATTTTGTTGTCATGTCCAGGAGGTACTGTGTGTATTAGTAAAAATGTGATCAGTAATTTTATCAAAATTACCTCATTAGTACCTACATAGTGTGTTGACACATCTATTCATACCCCATTGGCTTATTTAACAAAGACCTACTGTAGTCTTATGGGATTCATTAGAATTTCAAAAACAGTCATACTTTGACCAAAGTGTAAAGTAATTAACATTTATTTTTAAGTTCAAAGAACAATTTTTTTTTTTTTTTTGAGACAGAGTCTCACTCTGTCACCCAGGCTAGAGTACAAAAGTACAGTCTTCTGATAACTTTTTGTCGCTGATGAGGGAAGAGGCTCCCACCCAATTAAAAATACATTTTTTTGAGAACAACAATATCAACACAGGAATAATTCAGTGAATACAAATGCCTATTGCGTGCCAGGCACTCTACTAAGATGCAGCAACTACTGTTTTCACAATCTGGCAGTAAAGGTGAACACGAATAAAAAAATTGTGCCAGCCAGGGGCAGTGGCTCACGCCTGTAATCCCAGCACTTTGGGAGGCTAAGACAGGCGGATCACCTCAGGTCACAACATGGTGAAACCCTGTCTCTACTAAAAATATGAAAATTAGCCAGGCTTGGTGGCGGGTCCCTATAATCCCAGCTACTTAGGAGGCTGAGGCAGGAGAATCGCTTGAACCCAGATGGCAGAGGTTGCGGTGAGCCGAGATTGCACTACACTCCAGCCTGGGCGACAGAATGAGACTCCATCTCAGAAAGAAAGAAAAAAAAATGTGCAGTGTGATGAGCTCTGAGAGTCTGTTAAAATTATCCTGGAGACCAGAGGTGAGAGCAACTGGTTCCCAGTGTCATGCAGCATGAGTTACTGATGATGAATGGAATCGGCCTTGACAGTAGGGAGTCACTATAAGCTGACCCAAACCCTGCCATTCACTGATAATGAGATCTTGGGCAAATGACTTAACCATTTCAAGCCCCAGTCACCTTATCAGTCATAATTCCTACCTACTCTACTTGGGTATTGTGAGGATTCGATGATGTAGAACATGTAATCCCAGCACTTTGGGAGGCCAAGGCAGGTGGATCAGGAATTTGAGACTAGCCTGGCCAATATGGTGAAACCTCATCTCTACTAAAGATAGAAAAAATTAACCAGGCATAGTGGTGCACACCTGTAATCCCAGCTACGCAGGAGGCAGAGGCAGGAGAATCACTTGAACATGGGAGGCGGAGGTTGCTGTGAGCCGAGATCGCGCCATTGCACTCCAACCTGGGTGACAGGGCAAGACTCGTCTCAAAAAAACAAAAACAAAACAAAACACAAAAACAAATAAAATACATAAAGTACATTGCCAACAGAACAGTTGATAAAAATTATCTTTGCTTTTCCTTAGTAGCGTAAATAATAAATTTAGAATACAAGTTTAATAGGTTAAATCATGTCCTGTTTAGTATTTGCTACAATTTGGTCATACACTAAACTGAAATTTACTCTTGTAAATTTTTTTTTACAATTTTTATAGAGACAGGGTCTCACTTTGTTGGCCAGGCTGGTCTTGAACTCCTCTCCTCAAGCCACCCTCCCACCTCGGCCTCCCAGAGTGCTGAGATTACAAGCATGAGCCACCATGCTCAGCCTACTCTTGTGTTTTTATATGCTGGGGAGTTCTTCGATCATTTCATTTATTTTTCATGCAATTTTAGTATACACATCCTGGTGGTTTGTTTCATTTACATCATAAACCTATTTCATACAGCTATATAGCAGTCATCCTTGTTTTTCCAACTAACAATCTTCAGTTTAAAAGGCCATTCCTACCAAGGAAAAAGACACATTGTTATTTACTCTTGAAAGAACCTAGGAAAATAATTCCTGCTAATTCCAGCGTATTCAGCATCAGAAGCAGAAACCAGAAGTACCACATTTTACTACCTAATATAGGAATAGATATAATAGATATTAACTTTAGGCTCTAAAAAGCCATAATAAAATCTCTTTGACCACAGTGCTTCGCTGCAATTGAGTCCTTTAACCAACTCAAGCTGTGGGTTTTTTTTTTTTCCTCAAGTTACTAAATATGAATTGAAATCATGAATTATGGTCAGGATGCTTGACTTAGCCAACTCTTGAAGTCTCTTGTCCCCACCCTCACCCCACTCCCTTCCTGGGGGCTGGTTAACCAGTGTGGAAGATCAAACAGGATTGCTCCATTCAGCTGCTTGTGCCAAGAATGTATTGCTTTTAGAATGCCATCAAATGGCACTTGGGTCTGACTGAGGACCACAAGCAATTCTAATAAGCCTGGGCACAGGCTGGATTTAATTCTGGGTCCTCTCTGATATAGGGCTTGGCTCCAGATTTAAGGCCTGCCTTTTAGCACGGGGCTTGGGAACATCCGTGGAATAAGGAAGGTCCTTTGAGAAAACATATGAGAAATAAATATTAATGTATATGAAAGATCACACACCAGAGTGGTCAGGTATTTTCTTCGTGAGCACAAGGCTATCATACTTGACTATAACATAAAAGCAATTTGTGAAGCAGATAATAATTTTGATTATACTTTATTCTTCTCTGAATATATACGTATTTGCATACGGATCTTAAGGTACTCTTCACAACAGACCTGGGTGTTTAGAAAAGATTCTTCTGATTACACCCGTTTTTAAAAATCCGCATATTCCATCAACGAAGTTACCAAACATCTATGCTAGATGGTAGAAGTTAGCAATAGAGAAATAAAGTTATGTAAATTTGGTATATTTTTTCAATCCATTTTTTACACTTTAGCATTTGTAGATCTCTCTCTTGCACAGACACCAGCGTGCGCACACACCCACTATTTGACATAAGATTTTACATTATACGTACAGTTCTGAACATGGCTTTTTTTTCACTCAACAATGTTCTTTAATTCGAGCATTATTTACACATAGATGTGGGTGTTGGGGATTTATTGTTTTTAAAAAAATGTTATGTAGTATATTCCATCATATAAAACAGTCACACTTTACTTACTTTCATACTTACGGGCATTTAACTTGATTTCCATTTACAGTATTATGAATAACACTGCCATGAACATCCTTCACAGGGCCCTTTTCGGGAATGTGTCTCTAGAATAGACGCTTCACAGTGGGTCAGACAGTGTAGGCATATTCCCTTTTACAGATGCTGTCAAGTTTTCCTTCAGAATGTCTGTGTTCATTCATTCTCCCACTATATGCAGCAATATTTGATGTTGTCAGAATTTTATTTTTTGCCAGCCTAATGGTTGCAAATTGTATTAGTCTGTTTTCACACTGCTACAAAGAACTACATGAGGCAGGGTAATTTGTAAAGAAAGGAGGTTTAATTGACTCACAGTTCCGCATGACTGGGGAGGCCTCGGGAAACTTAGAATCATGGTGGAAGGTGAAGGGAAAGCAAGGCACATCAAGGAAGGCACGTCTTACATGGCAGCGAGAGACAGAGAGAGAGGAAAGAACTCAGAGGAAGCCACACACTTTTAAACCATCAGATCTTGTGAGAACTCATTATCATGAAAACAGCATAGGGGAAACCGCCCCCATGATCCAATCACCTCCCACCAGGTCCCTTCCTTAACACGTGGGGATTACAATTCGAGATGAGATTTGGGTGGGGACGCTGAACTAAACCATGTCACAAATACTATCTCGTTTTGTGTCGAGCCACTTTTAAGAGTCTCATCCTGCAATCATCATATATCATAGTATAATAACAGACTCCTAAAATCAGATCTGAATTTCCATAAAAGAAAAACGTAAAACCAAAAGCTTATGTTGTGTTACATTATTTTCAAATGTAAAAGGAACTATCATGTAAGATAAAAACGTTAAATTGACTCATTCTTTCAACATTTTTTAAGCATTTTGTACTAGGCTGTAGGATTATGAAAATAAGCAGGTTATAGTTTTGGGCATCATAGAGCTCTCATTCCAGTGGAGGAAACAGGTGCTTAAACTAGTAGTTTCTGCAAATGCTGTAAAGTGAGTGTTCTAAGAACTATAAGAGGACAGGAAGGAGGATATAAGTCTCATTGTCTTAGTGATGCAGAATGAATATTAGAAAATCACCAAATTCAAAGGGTAGCAAATGCTGTCCTTTTATGTGTTTAAAACAGATTGTCACACATTTACTCTTCAGCCCTGCTCTGCCATAATGTAGTACATGACACAATCCCCCCAGGAGATACAGAGAGATTCACGAAAGAGATCTTGTCCCCCACTCCCCCTGTGAGGACACAGGTGACGGGTGCTGTGAATCTACAAACAGCAGCTGAAGTTGTCAGTCTCTCCTCAGCAACTAACGGTTTTTCAGCACTTGGCATTTACAAAACACTAAGCTAGGTGTTGAGGGGGATACCGAGGTATGTATAACATGGTCTTGTTCAGTGGCAGTTCAGAATCTAGCTGGGGAGATAAGGCAGTTCATATTTAATGACATTGTAGATGCTCAGTCATAAGAAAACACCACCAAATTTGAATGATGCTTCCATATGGCCCACTCACAATGGAAAGAAAACTTTAATATTTAGAGAAATGTCTTAGAGGGAAACAGTGTATCCACGTCCAGGTACTGAGCTGTAGTTTAGAAGTGTAGATGAAATTGCATATATCAAACTTTTAATACACAGCCCTGTACTTAGTAGGCACTCTGTACACTTTTAACATTTTTTTTGAATTGACATAATATTGTTATTAATACAAATATATCAAGAAAAATTATTCTTTTTATTAATTTTTAATTTTTGGCTTGTTTTTTAGGTCAAGAAGTGGTTTTCAAGTGCCTTGGGGAAGGAATTCTTGAAAAAGCCTTTCAGGGGTATAATGCGTGTATTTTTGCATATGGACAGACAGGTAAGAAGTTGCTTTTATAATCCAGATGTGATAGATCGTGCCTGTAATTCCAGCACTTGGTGAGGCTGGGGTGGGAGGATTTCTTGAGCCCAGGAGTTTGAGACCAGCCTGGGCATCATAGTAAGACCCGTCTTTACAAAAACTAAAAACATTAGCCCAGCTTGGTGGCACACCTGTAGCCCCAGGTTCTTGGGAGACTGAGGTGGAAGGTTGGCTTGAGCCCAGGAGTTTGAGACTGTAGTGAGCCATGATCACACCACTGCACTCCAGCTTGAGCAACAGGGTTTGAGGCTAAGTTGGCCACTTTTCTGCTCTGTTACCTTGGCCAGTATGTGGGGAAACCTTGTATAGCTGAAGCATTGCATTTTGCTTTTTCTTTTACCTGTTCTCTTTTTGCTTGCTTCTTCTCCAGGTTCAGGAAAATCCTTTTCCATGATGGGCCATGCTGAGCAGCTGGGCCTTATTCCAAGGCTCTGCTGTGCTTTATTTAAAAGGATCTCTTTGGAGCAAAATGAGTCACAGACCTTTAAAGTCGAAGTGTCCTATATGGAAATTTATAATGAGAAAGTTCGGGATCTTTTAGACCCCAAAGGGTAAGTTAGTGGTCAAGATTAAGTGTGTTAATAGGGGGAGATAATTTTAAATGATTCTAAAGTTAAAATTGGAAGTGAATATACGTATTTAAGCTCTTGGTGACTACACTGGTTTTCATTCATTTACAGAGAAATCATCAGCTTCTCAAAGCCTGTTGGTATACCCAGTGTTTATCCTACATTAATGTATTAAGTTGCCTATGTATGCCCTTTGAAAAGATGTTGTTACTATTGGTATTATTTTTTTGCCACCATGAACTATTCATAAAAATTGAGTTAGGAATAACCATTAGTTCTTCCATTTACATTGGAAAGCGGCACTTCTGTGTTAAAGGTAAAAGGGTTGAAGGATTGAAACATCCCAGCCAAGGCAAGCAATTCCCTTCCCTGGCTGGGCGTTGGAATCATGTGGGGAACGTTTTAAGCATCCACTTGCCTGATTCCTACCCATAGAGACTAGATTCAGTAAACCTAGGGTGAAACCCAGGGATCTATATTTTTTTAATTAGGTGATTAAAAAATATATTTATTTGATTCATAGAGGCAGGGGGACCATTTACTTTTTTTCAATTAAAAAATTTGGAGCCGGGTACAGTGGCTTATGCCTGTAATCCCAGCACTTTGGGAGGCCAAGGTAGGCAGATCATCTGAGGTTAGGAGATTGAGACCAGTCTGACCAACAGAAACCGCATCTCTACTAAAAATACAAAAATTACCTGGGTGTGGTGATGGACATCTGTAATCCCAGCTTCTTGGGAGGCTGAGGCGGGAGAATCACTTGAACCCAGGAGGTGGAAGTTGCAGTGAGTTGAGATCGTGCCACCGCACTCTAGCCTGGGGAACAGAGGGAGACTCCATCTCAAAAAAAATTTAAAAACAACTGTACTGATTTAAAAATAATATCTATTTATGGAAAATTTGAAAAAATAGGTAAAGTGTAAGAGGTAAAAATGACCTATATTCTCACCATTCAAAAATAATCACTAAGGCCAGGCATGGTGGCTCATGCCTGTAATCCCAACATTTGGGGAGGCCGAGGTGGGTGGATCACTTGAGGTCAGGAGTTCAAGACCAGCCTGGTCAACATGGTGAAACACTGTCTCTACTAAAAGTACAAAAATTAGCCGGGCGTGGTGCTGGGCACCTGTAATCCCAGCTACGCAGGTGGCTGAGGCAGGAGAATTGCTTGAACCCGGGAGACAGAGGTTGCAGTGAGCCAAGATCGTACCACTGCATTCCAGCCTGGGCAATAGAGTGAAACTGCATCTCAAAAAAAAAAATAATATTAATAACCACTATTACTACTTTGGTGCATTTTGACCAAAATTATGAGTGACGAGGAAGTGACCTAATCAAAGAAAATGTTTATATTTACTCTTAAGAAGCTGTTAACTATTTAATGTATACAAAAGAACATTTATAATACCTGTAAGGCGTAAAGAGTAATAAAAACAACTGCCTATCTACATTGGGTTAATAAATGGAACATGACTTAGCCAAAAGTACTCTAGCTAAAATTAAATAAATAAAATGGAACATGACCAATAATTGTGAAGCTCACTATATGTTCCTCTTGGATCCATGTTCTATCCCTCCCCAAGGTAACTACTATTGTGAATTTTGTGTTTAGCATTCTCTTCCTCTTCTTTAGCATGTAGAAATAATTTTGCACAATTTTTAACTTTGTATGACATCATAGTATGTGTTCTTTGGTGATTTTTCCTCCCACCATGATTCATTTATTCTTATATATGAAGTGCTAATGCATTTTTACTGTTGTCTAGCATTTCATGGCGTGATTATATCAATAATTCATCACTTTCTCTGTCTTTTGTGTGGTTCCTGCTTTTATCAATACAGTGCTGTTCTGAAAACATTGTTTTGCAGGTCTTCTGGTATATAGCATGCAGGAGTTTCTACGTAACACATCTAGGGGTGGAATTGTAACTCACAAAACATTGAATCTCCAATTTTATTCAGTAGCACAAACTGTTACCCAAAGTGGTTGTAACAATTTCCACTCCCACCAGCAGTGTACAAGAATTTCCGATATTGGACACCATCACAGGCACTTGATACAATGCTGGGTTTGCTTTTTCTTGCTGCTGAATAGCATTATAGAATCTCTGGCAAGCAGAGTAAGCTGCGTACTGGATCGTGTGCATCTAAGTAGCTCATTGTCACATTGAATTCTTCATCTTTAAAATAAAAGTGGTAAAGCCTACTTTGTAGGGATGTTATGAAATTAAACGGCATAACTGAAAAGTGCTTCAGAGAACAATGCCAGGACTTTGGGATGCATTCAGTGATGCTTCTTAGTTGCTGCTTCCCATATATTGCTGATGCTAAGCAGTGACTCTTAATTTGAAAGATGATTAATATGCGATGCCCTGAATAAGATGGCATACACGATATGGTCAGTATATACATAGCTTTGCTTTTAATCTCCATTGTCTTTTGATAAACTGTTCAAATGGGTTCCAAACCAGGTTTATCATTTAAAAATTCAAAAGAGCTTTAAAACTGTCATTAGCAGAACCAATTCTAAATATAGGACAACATCAGTAATTACAAACAAACTCTGTACTATAATCTCACTTTCTGTGTAAAAAAGTGTAAGCATAGAAGTAGCACAAACCAATGCAGACTTGAAGTAAACTTTAAACATTTTAATATTGTTTACTACTAATCCAAAAATTTTGGCCAGGCTGTAGTGGCTCACATCTGCAATCCCAGCATTTTGGGAGGCTGGGGGTGGAGGATTGCTTGAGCCTAGAAGTTTAGGACCAGCTTGGGCAGAATAGTGAAGCTCACATCTCTACAAAAAATATAAAAATTAGCCAGGCATAGTGGCATGGGCCTGTAGTCCCAGCTGCATGGTTGGCTAAGGTGGGAGAATCACCTGGGTGGGAGGTTGAGGCTATAGTAAGCCGGGGTCATACTACTGCACTCTAGCCTGGGCGACAGAGTGAGACCCTGTCTCAAAAACTAAATACAATTTTAAGACATTATCTACTGAGAAGATGCTTATTTATGAAATAGCCTAAAGGTTAATTTGATCTGGCATGTTTTTTGGTTCAGTTTTTCCCCCAACCCTCCCCAAAATGTAACTGACAGCCTGACCCAGTAAGGTTTGTGACTAGAGATAGAATGTTTAAAATAGTAACATATTTTAAATAGAAATCAGAGCATAAAACACATTTCTCATGTGAAACATCGTTTTGCTAGTCCAAATAAAGTAGCTTTTAGATTTGTTGGGGGGAGGAGTCCTTAAAAAATTATTTTGAAATTATCTTAGTTACTGTGTACTTAAAAAGAAAGAAAAGCTTCCAGCTTTGGTCTGATTCATTTATTCCTTTTTCCTCCCTCCCACAGGAGTAGACAGTCTCTTAAAGTTCGAGAACATAAAGTTTTGGGACCATATGTAGATGGTTTATCTCAACTAGCTGTCACTAGTTTTGAGGTAAGTCATTTTTAAAAAAATGTGATTAAAAGCTGACTATAAATCCTATGTAAGTGATACTGAGTATATTTTATGTGGACGCTTTATAGCACAATGATACTACTCAGGGCCTCAGAAACCCAGTATCAGCACACCGCAAACAGAGAGGAAAAAGGCTTTTAATCACACTCTTCAAGCTGCTTTGTTGTGAAGGTTTTACAGTATGGCCAGAAAGCCCAATGTTTTCAGGTTGCTGCATGTTTTCACTAATACTACTCTGTTAAAACTGTGCTCCCAATGATGCCAGTGACATCCTTCTAGGCATGTGGTAGTCTAAACACTATTTGGCAGTTAGTACAGTCCCTTCTTTTTGGCAGGGTCTCCTGCCTTGGTTTCTGTCACTCCTTGCTCTCCTGTTTTTCTGAATCACTCCTCTTGCCATTGACCAGCCAGTTTTACTTTATTTACTCTTTGACTTACATGCCTTGTTAAGATCTAACTCAGGATTCTGCTTCTATTTCTATAGTGATTGCTTTGGAAATCTCATAACGCAAACTGCTGTCTCTGTTGCTAAAGAATGTGAATGAATGTGTGAATGCATGAAGGAACAAGCAAATCCCTGCACTTTGTGCTCTTTGTGGGATGTGGCTGGCCCATTATCACCCCAGATTTAGTACGGCTAAAACTAATCTGTGCAGTGACTCTCCAGCCATTTAAATCAAGATATATGTGGAATTGCTCTAATCAGAAATAAGAGCACAGTGATCATTTTAAAAATGTTTAGGTTCTGACATGAATGGATACCTTTTTGGTCTAAAGGTGCTAACTCAGCCCCTTCGCTGAGGTCCCTGGTTCTTAGCTCAGTGTGGTTGAGGTACGTGTAGATGTTATCCTGTCACTTACTAGTAGGAGCCAGGGTGCTCTTGATTTGCATCCCAGTTCTACCGCTTACTGGATGTGGGAAAAGTTGCTTGACCTCCATGAACTTCAGCGTACTTGTATGCAAAACCAAGAAAATAAAGTTCATTCAGCAAATATTTCATAAGATCCCATAGGCTCTAGGCATTCTAGAAGCAAGTGTACAAAGTGGAATAAGGAAAAAACCGTGCCATCAGGGAGCCACAGTGTTGGAGGAGGGAGGCGGACAGGCAGGCATCAGCGAGTTGGTAAGCACCAGAGAGTTAAATCAAGTCACTGCTCTTACTGATTATCGGAGTGCTCAATAAATATTAGCTACCCCAGGAACCCAAAAAGGAGCAAACAGGGACTCAACTGAGAAAGAAGACAGTTGGGAAATGGAAAGAATAAGGGGAAACGTTTCATACATTAGAAAGCCCTGAGTGAGGTAGAAGCTCAAACCCGGCTCAGTGGAGGAGCAGCAGGCAGGTTTTTATGGAAGGGTGGTGACAAAGGCATCAGAGGAATCATAATTAATACATACACCTGGCGTGCAGGACTGCATTCTTGTGTTTTTGCTTATGGTCTTTCCTTATGCTTTGCCTCTAGGATATTGAGTCATTGATGTCTGAGGGAAATAAGTCTCGAACGGTAGCTGCTACCAACATGAACGAAGAAAGCAGCCGCTCCCATGCTGTGTTCAACATCATAATCACACAGACACTGTATGACCTGCAGTCTGGGGTGAGGGATTAGGCAGAACCTTTGAAGGGGGTGGAAGAACTGAAAGTGTCCATATAGGTAAAGCCTTCCATGGTTGGGTTCAGTGGCTGAGAATTTTACGTTGGCTCTTCTGCTTACTAGGTGAGCTGCCTTGCTTACATCATTTAATTTGTTAGGTCTTCCTTCATATTCGACTTTTTAAAAAATTGGATTTTGGCCTGGTGCGGTGGCTCATGCCTGTAATTCCAGCATTTTGGGAGGCTGAGGCGAGAGGATTGCTTGAGGCCGGAAGTTCAAGACCATCTTGTACAATATAGCAACACCCGGACTCTACAAAAACAAAAAAGAAAAATAATTGTATTTCTTGTTCAAAGTCCCTAACAAGTGTGATGACATCACCATACAGCTTTTAATATATATCCTTTCATGCTGAAATTCCCATGGAAACAAGTCAGCTTCATAGTCCTTGAGGGATATTAAAGAGGACACCACAACCTTTAGCCTGAACTTTTTTTCAAAAGAAGAAGGATTTGACCTGAATGTGCAGAAATCCTCATGTCCTTCTATTTCCTCATAGGCATTTAAAATCTCCAGCTTTCTGACTGTATTCCAGAAAGCTGGGTGTACTTTCTGCAAAACAAAAATGCTACATTTCCATGCCAACTTAAATTTTAACTATGAAATTAATTGCTAGTTCAAATAACTCTTCTGACCATTTAAAAACTTAAGAAATTTGCCATGTGAGTGGGATGGATTGCTCAATATAGTGCTACATGTTTGTAGAATATCCATGTGTTTTATTGGTAAGTTTTTTTTCTCTCTCTTGTTTCCTGTAACTAGAACTCCGGGGAGAAGGTCCAGAAAGGTCAGCTTGGTAGACCTGGCGGGGTAGCGAAAGAGTATCTAAAACAGGAGCTGCAGGAGAGCGACTGAAAGAAGGCAGCAACATTAACAAGTAAGGTGGTCCCGGAACAGCCTGGGTGATTTCCTTCTGGGGGGATTTGTTGCATTATGAGGGTCAGATGGTTCTGATGCACAGGTTGTTTAAAGTCTGTATCGCTTTAGTAAACTGTTTGAAGAAAAACAACAACAACCTGTGTCTATTAAGATGTATGAGGTTTTTGGCCAGGCATGGTGGCTCATGCCTTAATCCCAGCACTTTGGGAAGCCAAGGCGGGAAGATCATCTGAGGTCAGGAGTTTGAGACCAGCCTGGCCAGCATGCAAAACCCCATCTCTACTAAAAAGACACAGTCAATACACACCTGTAACCCCAGCTACTCGGGAGACTAATGTAGGAGAATTGCTTGATCTGGGAGGGGGGGTTGCAGCTGAGCCAAGATTGCACCACTGCACTCCAGCCTGGGCAACAGAGTGAGACTTTATGTCAAAGAAAAAAAAAGATGTATAAAGGATTGTGTTTGGGTATGGTGGCTCACGACTGTAATCCCAGCATTTTGGGAGGTCAAGGTGGGTGATCAGTTGAGGCCAGGAGTTCAAGACTAGCCTGGGCAACGTGATGAAAACCCTTCTCTACCCAGTCTCTACCCTGTTTCTACCGTCTCTACCCCGTCTCCAAAACACAAAATTAGCTGAGCATAGTGGCGCACTTCTGTAATTCCAGCTACTTGGGAAGCTGAGGGATGAGAATTACTTGAATCTGGGAGGCGAAGTTTGCAGTGAGCCAGATTGCTCCACACTGCACTCCAGCCTAGGCAACAGAGTGAGACTCTGTCTCAAAAAAAAAAAAAAAAAAAAAAAAAGGACAAGGTTTAATTAAATAAAACTACATGGTGCTCAAAAATGGCACAAATACCATATTCTGACATATGTGGAAGCTAAAAAATGTTGATATCATAGAAGTAGATAGAATAGTGGTTATTAGGGGCTGGAAAGGGGAGGACAGGGGGAATAATGAGAGGTTGATTAGTGGATACAAAATTACAGCTAAATTGGAGAAATAAGTTCTAGTGTTCCATAGCACTGTATGTTGACTATAATTGACAATTTGTTGTATATTTTCAAATAGCTAGGAAAGTGAATTTTCAGTGTTCCCAACACAAAAAAATAAGTGTTTGAGGTGATGGATACACTAAATACCCTAAGTTGATCATTATACTTTATATACATGTATCAAAATATCACACTGTACCTCATAAATATGCACAGTTGTGTGTCAATTAAAAATAAAAGCAGGCTGGGGGCAGTGGCTCACGCCTGTAATCCTAACATTTTGGGAAGCTGAGGTGAGTGGATCACCTGAGGTCAGGAGTTCAAGACCAGCCTGGATAATATGATGAAACCCCTTCTGTACTAAAAATGTGAAAAATTAGCCGGGCATGGTGGCGGGCACCTGTAATCCCAGCTACTCGGGAGGCTGAGGCAGGAGAATCGCTTGAACCCAGAGACAGAGGTTGTAGTGAGCCAAGATGGCGCCACTGCATTCCAGCCTGGGCAACAAGAGTGAAACTCCATCACAAAATAATAATAATAATAATAGTACCTACTTCACAGATTTGTTAGGGATAAAATGACCATAATGTGCTTAGAGAAATGCCTGGCACTTAGTATGCAGTGAATAAATATTAATTGTTATAGCTGTTGTTTTTTATAATCAGGATAACCATTATCATGATTCCAAGTTCGCAGAAAGTAGTTTAGTGTATACTTGTAGTCTTTTTCTGTTGAACTGTAATAACTTAGGGTTTCGTTTAGGACAGAACGTGACAAGAGGAAATATATTCAGGAACGTGTTTGCACAGCTTGCATTTAAGATGATGTTAACACATTATTATTTTAGTATACAAAAGTTTAAAAATTAGAAGTAAAATAGTGGCCCCTGTATCAGACGGACACAACCGTACTCACTGGGAAAGACCACTACTATAGGAAATTAATCATCCAGTCATTCTGTCTCCTGCTCTGATAACAAAGGATTTTGCTGTATTTCCTGACAAGGCATTGCAAGATTCCAGACTGGCACTGCAACCCTGCATTCCAAAATGAGTTCGGAAACCAGGATGGGGAGGCAGAAATGGGAGTGTGAAGGAGCAGGTATCAAAGAAAAGATTGCCACACCTCCTGGAGATTCATTTGCAAGTGCTGGGCCATGCCTGCCGGTGGGGCTTTTGGGATCACACTGGAAAGTCTGTAGACTGGTTGGAATTTAGAGTGTGAGAGAGTGTGTGTGTGTGTGTGTGTGTGTGTGTGTGTGTGTGTGTGTATGACTGGCCTAGATGTGGAATGACCACTAACTTTTATTGAGCTCTTGCTAATGCCAGGCACGATTCTGAATGCTCTATACACAATGTCACATCAGCATCAAGGCATGGGTCCATTATCCCCGTTTTACAGATGAGAAAACCAAGACAGAGCACAGTTTAATGATGTCTCCCAGGTCACCAAGTTCTAAGTGTGGATTTTGGGAATGGTTGCAGTCAGCTGGTCTCTGAGCCCAGGCTCAGCCACTGTGGCTACACTTGTGGGGGTGGCTGTGCATTCTGTTTGCCAGGCAGCATCTGGATGATACTTTTGTCCCAGAGTAAATGTAAATAGTGCCCTCTTAATTTTGGACATGAATTTATGTAGTGGCCCTTACTGGATTACCCCAAGGCTTGGTGATTACATGATTTAGATCATTTAGTAACTGGCTCTTTTTTCATAATGACTTGTTCGAATTGAATAGAATTCTCTCAACATCTTTCTCTCTTTTCTTTCTTCCTTTTTTTTTTTTTTTTTAAAGAGATGGGGTCTCACTATGTTGACCAGGCTGGTCTTAAACTCTTGGCCTCAAGCGATTTTCCCATCTTGGCCTCCCAAAGTGCTAGGGTTATAGGTGTGAGCCAACGCTTCTGGCCTCATCTTATTTATATATGGTCTCTTTCACAAATGGATTTGTGGATTCCTTACTAGTTTATGAGATATGATCTTCCTTTTTAAGGGTTCTTTATACTTTTCAGAGCATTTTCATACACTCTGGGAGGCTCATAACATGTATTTTTAATCTTATTTTAAAGATGAGAAAACTGATGCTTAGAGACATTGAATAACGTAAGTAAAATCCCAGCAAACATTTTGTATGCCTTGGCTAGGTGCAGTGGCTCACCCCTGTAGTCCCAGCATTTTGGGAGGCTGAGGCAGGTGGATGGCTTGCGGTCAGGAGTTCAAGACCAGCCTGACCAACATGGTGAAACCCTGTCTCTACTAAAAATACAAAAATCAGCCGGGCATGGTAGTGGGCGCCTGTAATCCTGGCTACTCAGGAGGCTGTCTCAGAAAAAAAAAAGTTGAGTTCCAAAACTAAAGAAATCTCTGACATGTTCTTAAGCTTTCTCTTGGCCTCCCACTTACGTTTCTTTGGATGGAGCATTAATAATCCTCTTACGCAGACCTGTCAGGGACTTCACACAAATGTCAGTGTCTGCTTAATGGGCTATAGATTTAGGAACTTCAGGTCTCCTGAAGCTGTAAGACCTTTAAGCAGATGTTACTCCTTTCATTAAAGAATTAAGATACCGTGTGGCCTGCTGCCAGGGAGTGTTTGGAGCTTAGGAGGTATAGGTCATCTGTGGAACTGTCTTTGCAGGGGAATACATTTGAAAAGCCAATCTGCTGTTCCACCTGTCTAGTGAAGATGGAATGAGGAAGCCTTTTCCTTGTCACTGCAGTCTGGCTGCTTCAGCTCTGCTGAGAACACATTTAGATCATAGAGCACTCTCTAATACCCCCAGACACTGAACGTGGTTCCATTTTATTCAGTAATGACCAGTCAAAATTTGCAAAAATGCAAACAGTGTTTATCTAGTTCTCAGTCTCATTTCTATTTCAGTTCCTGTGGTTAATAAGCTAACATCTTATCAATAAGCTAACATCTCCAAAAGTGGGTTCTATTGAGCACTTGTTCTAGAGAAATTCCTATATATTACTTCTAGGATTGTATCAGTATAATTTGTTATAGTAGAATAACTTATAAGCATGATATTTCTAGTATTTCATCTGACTCGGTGATATGCTATGGCTGTGTCTCCACCAAAATCTCATCTTAAATTGTAGCTCCCATAAATACCACGTGTTGTGGGAGGGACCCAGTGGAAGTTAATTGAATCATGGGAGCGGTTTCCCTCATACTATTCTCGTGGTCGTGAATAAGTCTCACGAGATTTGATGGTTTTATAAGGGGAAATCCCTTTTCCTTGGTTCCCATTCTCTCTCTTGCCTGCCGCCGACGTGCCTTTTGCCTTCTGCCATGATTGTGAGGCCTCCCCAGCCACATGGAACTGTGAGTCCATTAAACCTCTTTTTCTTTAAAAATTACCCAGTCTTGGGTATGTCTTTATCAGCAGCATGGACTAATACACTCAGTCTTCCTTTTTTTCTTCTTGAGTACTTTCCATGATTCTTGTTCATTCTCTTACAGAAGCCTCACTCTAAAGAGGTATTGCCTGAATAACAAAACATGAATTTGTATCGAGGGAGAAAAATAAAATGGCTTACTTCTGTCCATTACTCAAGGGTGGGTGTCTTTCTTAATTTATGACTTGTATATTACGGAGTCCATACATGTGAATTAAAAACCTGGATAGACATATTTGCATTTAATATGAGAGACCCATAAAGGACAGCAAAACTCTGCTCCTTGGGACACAGTAGCCGCATCGTTGGAAGAATTTGATAGGGTTACCCAAGGTTTCCTAAAGCATTTTTGTCAAACACTAGTTCCTCAAATGGCTTGGAAAGAAGCGAATCCTTGGACAAGTTATTTTGAGAAAGAATAATTATAAAACCTTTCTTTGGAGATTCACAGTGCTAAAAGCTCAGAGACGTCCTGCAATAATAAATCCTATAAAACTTGGGCTTGTCATTCCCCAAACTTATTTGATGACAGAATTCTAGGTTTAACATATATTAAGATCCCCAGAACAATAAAGTATACAGTAACATTTTAAAGTATACACTA